CCATAACAACTTTATTCTTTTTCAGCCTAGTTTTATTACTAATCCCAGTTCTTCAGACATGCAAGCAACAAGCATCATTTCAGCCCCACTTAGAAATCCTCTTCAGGTCTTAGTCACAGACGTACTAGTCCAAGTTCAGTGGAGAACTGGCTGACTGGATGAAGACTCACTTACCATTGTGAGCCAACAGACCTCATACTTCACCCTATTTCTTTTTTTTTGTCTCTTGTGATCCTAGAAAATAAAAAGTTAAACACTAGTCCAAAAACATTCTAGCAGATGGTAAGTATAAACCAAAAATTAAGATGCATTATCTTCTGTCTTTTTCAGAAGAAAAAAGTTTTAAAACTTTCCTTCCAGCCTCCAGAGCTGAATTTACTTTACTAAAATACCTTTTTTAGTAGAAAACTGCAAACACCCTATTTCAGTAAAAGAACCACTGAAAAGGTGGGTTTGCTGTCATTTTTACTAATTCTATTACCTTATACTCCCCCAGTTTAACCCCCAAAGATGTGGCCAAGAAGGTTTTTTTCCTGTATGTAATTATATACTCAGCTATTCTGTCATCTTCTTTTTCTAAGAATCTTCAACCTACATCTGACATATACCACATCTCCTTACATAACCATAAGCCTTCCACAATTAGCATTCCAACTCATACTTTCTTTAAAGCTATGGTGCCACTCTAATTCCAGTACCCATAGCCTAAGTTGGGGGGGGGAGGGGAGAAACAAAACCAAATACTAGAATACATAAAGAGGTTTCAAAAATACCTTCATTAACTTCACAGTTCATCATGACCAAAATACTATCAAACCAGTGTTGCTACCTAAACGTTAATCCAAAGAAAACTCAAAATGTATAATCTTCCATGCAGTCCTCCCAATACTCTCAAAACTACTGTAACCCACAACCACAGTGACACAAATCCAAGCAGGCTTTCCATGTGAGACAGGCTTTCTATGTGCTGCTTTCTACTTCTTCATTAGTTTAATCATGAAAAGCACCAAAATCTGCCTCTTAGCACATGGCTACCTTATTTTCACAAATAGTTCCACAAGAACATGCTCAGAACTATTGCTGAGTCCTGATACAACAAATGAGCCATAATTAAACCCCAGATAGCCATCAAGAACAATGTACCACCCAATGATTAAGGTAATCCTACACCATAAAAAACCAGTTGAAAGCTGGCACACCATTGAAATATGTAGTATTAAACCCCACATATCTGTACCAGCTATCCCTCTGATAAACAGTAACACAACACAGCCACTCGAAGACACTAAAAGTTTCAGGAAAAGACTTGACAGCTAAGTAAACAGAATAAAGATATCCCACTAACATATACTCCAATAAAACAAGAATAAATTTAAAATACAAATAAGTACCCCAAATTTACTGAAAACCCACACCCCAAAAAAGCAGTAACAAAGAAATTGTAAGGAGAAGAAAGTGATTTTACATGGAAATTGGGCAAAATATATATTAATTTCCACTCACATATCAACTGAGGCAAATAGTGTGAATGTAAAACAAAAAGAACCAGTCCCTTGAAAAAAAGTTCTACATCTTCTTCCTTTACCCTTCAACTCCCTTTAATTTCTCCATAAATCTTATTATAATGAGTTATCTGTCCTCTGGCCAAATAACTCATCCTCTTTCTTTAGCTGTGTGTCCCTCTGTGTTCGCCCAACATCTCCACTATGGCTCCCATCTGTTCAAAGAAACATAAAATGTCAAAGTAATTTTAAAATTACATGTTTATAACTGTTTGTCATCAGTTATCACCTCCAATGAAGTTAAATAATCTGAAGTTAAATATCTCCCATAAAAAATCCCTCTTCACTCCCTGTAACAACTTGGGCCAAACATAAAACATCCCGCTCACAACGTCCTCAGGTTTCACTGCTTGTTCACATTTAACACTGCCAAAGTGGCTGGGCTTGGGCCCTTTTTATTACTTTCTCTGTACAATGAGACAACCATTGCTACTCATGGTTGGATAGTTAATTCTGCCTCTTCACCTAGAGACTGGATTCAGAGCTCTCTCAATAAGAGCTCTGTTTTCAGAGAGAATGAAGCTACTCTTTCAATACAAAATCCTTATTTCTGAAAATAGGTGCATATTTAAGAGCAATTATTATGAATTAAACTTAATTAACCATGGATCCCTGAAAAATTTTAAACAGCATCTGTCTGGGGAGAGATTTGTTGAAGATGTATCTAATTTCTTTTGAAATTAAACTTTGCTGATGCATATAAACTGTCTCACAACATTTTTTTAAATGGTAGTTCTTTGTTTAGTACCGAAAGTTTCTTCTTTAAGGGCAAGAAAATAATGTATTACCACAAAAAATAGAAATCTATATTAGAAACTGTCTTTTGTATATCAATCTCCTTTGTCATGGATATCTCCTATGTTACTTATATCATCTCCCATATTTTTAAGTCAGATCATCCTTTTCAGGTAGCTGCATGGTCATTTAGAATAATGGCTTGGCAATATATATACACATATATACACTTACATATATATATATATACACACACATATATAGATACACACACATATATATAATGATTGTTTGCAAGAAAATTTTAAGATCAGTGAAAAGATAATTTTTAGTGCTGACAGGGACCCTGTAGTCCAAAAAGAAGTAATGGACAGATAAATAAGTATCTTTAAAATCACAAAAGTTATGATTATTCCATTACTCACTGTTCAAAAGGGAAGAATGAAATTACCAGGCAGTAGGTTTTTAGTTAACAATAGAAAATACTGCTTCTCATCACATCTATTTAAATTCTGGAACTTCTTGACATGGCATGCTGTGAAAGGGAAAAGCATAAAGGAGTTCTAAAGAGTTTAGACAAATTCATGGAAAACAGGTAAAAGTCTATCAGTTATGATGGTCCAAGCATGTGCTAAGAAAATCCTCAACTGGGAGAAGTATTTCTCAGTTGTTTCCTGCTACTTTCTTTACTCCTCTGTCTACTTTGACAGTGTTTGAGTTACAGTAGTACTTAGGCTTTTGATCTGCCTCAGGATGGTACATTGTTCATTAATATTTGTGAGTATAATGTTAAGATAAATCGGCTGTTTTTCCAGTTGATTTCCATATCAAGATTGGTTATTCTTTGTATAAGTTGAGGGCAGAGGACATCAGAGAGACCTCAAACACATCACAGTTCAATAACAGACTGGGAGACTTACTGTTTATTAAATTGATTGATTTCTTCTTTTTTAAATAAAAATAAAATAAAATCAGACATTTTAGCATCACACCTTGGGCTTAAGGTTGCCTCTATAACTGAATAATTCAGATTAAAGTACATTTAGGAGACACTGTAACTTTCTCTGAACCAAGCACTATAAATACAAGCTATTCAGACTAAAGGGTAACTTCACAATTGCATCCTGTTAAACAAGGAAAACTATAGAAGAGAGTAAGAAGGAGACAAAGAAAAAAAGCCAACTGTGCTCACAGCATCAAATTGAAGGGTTAAACAAAAACTTAATGCAACACATATTTAAAAATCAGTTTTGTGTGCTCTGAGATTAGTGCTCCTAGTGCTTTCACTGGAATGCCATTGCCCTAGTGTGATGATACCACCAGGTCTAGAGACCCGAGCACTAATTCATTTGCGTGAATTTAGAATGACTAAATCCTGGCAAAGAGGGTTTTTTTCATTTTTTTAAACTTGTTTCCAAGGCCCTGACACATAAACACACTCCTTCAGTTCCCATATTATGTGGGAGTGTTAGGCAGCTGAACACAGATGGATTGTAAGCATCCAAAGCCATTTGTTTAGCAAATCAAATGTTTGCTTTATTATTTTCAAGTAATCAAAGAGCACCTGCTTATTTCTTGTTTTAAACTAGTCAGACAGAAACCGGTATTACAGCTGTAACACTGTCATCCTGATGTTTATAATCCAGGCCCCAGCTAAAATAGTGCTCCTTACAAAGAACTTAAAAGCATCACAAACCCATTTTGCATAATTCATCAGGTACCTTGTGAGTGAAGGTTCAGGACCAGTTTATACACCATCCAATTTGACAATTCACTCCTGTTATTTGTTATTCCAGCTGTATTGCTGGTCTCCCAAATGGATTTTTTTTTCCAGCTTGAATAGTTAGCTGCACAGTTTGTTAACTATCAGAATAAAAAAAAGAACACCAGATACAAATTGCAGTGTTCATTACCATGGTTTTTTACCTCACTACCAAATAGGTGCCCACCATAGCTACTGGGAGTCATATCTTCAATTTTGATGAGCCATGGGATTTATGCACTCAGCCACTGATATAACTTCAGGATTTAGTGTGCAAACAAGCTTTACAACCCCTTCATGGATAAATGTTAAGTCTTCTGGAGGAATGTTCTATCAAAAACTGTGGAGCTTCTAATAAGCAAAACAGGACTAACACATAGACACAAAAAAGCAGATTTCTCTGCCCTGACCCACCAGAGCAAGCAAGGGTTTTTATGTAAGCTGTACTGGGCTAAATGTGCTATTAAAATTCAAGGTAACTCAAAGGGTGTGCATTTTCTCTTTGTCTACTTCCCACAGTAATCTAGTGCTACCAAACACAGTCAGCTGCTAGATTTTGTCAGAGCATAAATTCCAGTTTTATGAGGGGATGCATGAATTTATGGGGAGGCAGTTGCTCTAGATTACAGCTCTGCGACTGATCCTGCAAAATGGAAGCATGAACTTACCATATGGGCATGAGTAATTGGATTAAAATTTCTGTGATTGATTTTCTATAAAGTTAAGGGCATGAACAAATATTTTTAGAAACGGAGTCTCAGTGGTGAAGTGTGTGTTATGTTTTACACTGTAGAAATACATTAGACCCTTGTTCTGTGTGACTCTTCAGTTGCAACAAGAAATGTCCTCAAATGCAGAATACAACACAGAGGCAAAACCCACCAGCTTCACACCAAGATGAAAACTCCATATTCCATTTGCCAGTAGGTTGTTATACTTACCAATATTGCAATACTTTCCTCCATAATTGTCTTTGCAATCACATACTATTTTCCCACTGATGGTAACCATTTTACATTCTCCACCATTCATGCAAGGATCATGAACACAGCCTACAAACAGAAACCAAAGATCAAACCAAAGGTACAAATTATTCAAGAGAATCAGTCCATTTTATTTTACTTTAGTACATCTTTTCTGTGCATACACATTTTTGGGAAGTATTTTCTTTTTTACTCATCTCAGACCTACACTTGATATAAATTAAAGGAAATTCAGCTGGTTTCTGCCCACTAAGGTCTGTCTCATTGTTCTTACTGCTATTGGATAATGTCAGCTATTGAAAAATATTATTAATGAACAATAGATAAAATGCGGGTGGTGATTATTATTACTAGTGGTGATGGTATTAACACTTCTTTCTCTGCAGAGGGTTCTGCCAGTTCCAGGCTTGCCACTAAGCTGTATTAAAACTTCTAATAACACATCTAGTAGGTAGCTTAGTTAACTATTTAAGATTGGGAAGTATTAAGTCCTATCAAATTTTGCAACTCTCCCATGGACTCCTGATGACCTAGAAAGCCACTGACTCTCCATACTTTAGTTTCCAGTTATGTAAGGTGGGAATAAAAGCACATACCTATTTCAAAGGGCTTTTATGAAGCTTGTCTGTACTGTAAGTTACTTGGGAGTCTGGGCAGGGTAAAAGTCAGCCAGACTGAGTAACAGAAAAGCCATACCAGAGCACCTATAGAGGTGAGGCATATGGTTTGCCTTGCAACATCTCTCCTTCCAAATGGAAGGTGATGTGCTGGCTTCATCGGGTAAGCGAGAACCCCAAGTGCATGCCCTGTACCTGGCCAGCTGTGTTGAGCACCTGGCAGCCCCAAAACAAGGAGGAGGCTTCATAACCTAAGCACTACCCTGGCCAGGAATGGGTAAGTTTGGCCAAAAATCATGGGGGCTGTGGGGTCAATGCAGGTCATATGGGATCCTGGAGGCGGGTGAAGTTTACATGGTAGCAATTTGAGAGTGGGATAGATTTGAGAAGAAACACAGAGGCAAAACAGCAATATGAAGGGATTGTAGGTGTGCAGAGGAAGATAGAGCAGGGCGTGCCTCTCAAGCATGTTACAGTTTTGGAGGAGAAATTTTACCACTTCTACTATATAATCTGTGGTATATTCTTACATGCTGCAGATCAGGATTACATCCCTCTCAAAGAAAACCCTGAGGTGTGTCCCTAAAATTCATCATAATGCATATAATTGCTTCCTCGGATAAGGATGGACATATTGAAGTGATTTCCTGGGTCAGTATTACTGCTCACGCATGGAAAGGAAAGCTAAAATATTCTCTTTTAGGGAGGGTATGTGAGCTGCAAGAGCAGCACTATGGTGTGTAACACCACACAGGCTTTAATATCCTCACTGTCCATGCAGGCCTATAGCTGTAACACATAATAGTGCCTTACTTTTGTGTCCAACACGCTCGCACTCGATCTGGCCGTTCACACACATGCACTGCTCCACAGCTCCGTGTTGGACTCTTGACCAGTTCACGCCCACATCAAAGAACTCATAGAGACTGTTGTCAAAACATTTCTCTGAAACAAAGTTTTACAAACAACACAAGCTTTCAGATGTTATTCCTTGCAAGAAACAGCACCACAATCTCCGTCATTCCCTGTTCATCCCTTCTTTCCAGTTGAGCAAATCTGTGTTTGTTGGCAGTGCTTCTCAAGCAAGCCAGCCTCCACAGTGTGTAGGCATCAAGCCACTAGAGCAGCAGCTCCAAGGACCTGGAGACAGAGGTGGCTTTCTCCTAAAGCATGATAGCATCACCATTACTTAAGCCCTTCCAAAAGTTTGTTCAGCAAACAGAAAAAGTCAAATCAGTGGTATACACTTGTGTCTGTGCCACTTTAATGTATTATTCACTGAAAAAGGCTTCTTTGTTTATTGTCAGGAGAGAAGTCTAGAACTGCAGGGAACATGGGCTAGTGGTGGACTTGGCAGTGTAGGGCTAATGGTTGAACTCAATGATCTTAAGGGTCTTTTTCAAACTAAACAATTCCACGTTTCTATGAAAAGCCTTCATTAAACTTCAGCAAGCACAACCCTCAGAGAAAAATCCAGACTCCTTGCTTGATGTGCAGCAAATTGAGAGTGACACCACCATAAAACCGGAAAAATAACCCAAGCAAAGCTTTTTGGCCTGACTCTACTCCTTTGAAAATGACTGCCCTGAAGGTGGAGCAGCTGCCCAGGTACAAAGCTGACATCACAGGAGAAGTTGTAATAGACCCATATGTGCATATACGTAAGGGATAAGGCATCACCTGGAATTGTGTTGCTTTGTCATGTCTTTGTGCCCTACCTACTAGACATAAGTAATTTCCAAACATGTAAGGCTTATTTACATCTTAAATCTTAAAACAGCAAAGGAAGGGGAAGAGGCTTTTTGTGCTTCCCATGCTCAGAGCATACTTGGATTTATAATTGTACAGTCAAGCTATTTTCAGATGTCCTGTCAGGAATGGATTGTCTGTCATAACCATTTGGAAATCCACCTACACAAACATTCATGCTGTAGTGGTCTCTCCCATCAAGCACTACCTTTTCATCAAGCAAACATTAATGAGCTTTACTTACTACTCATATTTCATGTTGTAACACCCATGGAAGAAGATACTTACTCAGCTGACAATCCTCGCCTGTGAATTCCTCGGGACAGGTACAGTGGTACATCCTATGGCTGTGAGTGAGAGAACAGGTACCTCCATTTTGGCAAGGGTTGCTTGCACAGTGATCTAGAGAGGCCACATAAGAGGTTGTTGTTAATAGGTGCCAGATAAGTCAAGCTTTGCTGTGTTAGGCATCTGCTTGGTTACATGAACCATTTTGGTTCAATGCACGGTGGGTTTAATACCACCTATTAAGCTAAAACAAAGTTTATCCAACCAATTTACATTGGGTTTGTTTTCAGCTCTATAGCAGCTACATTTATCCGACTTTTAAAAACCCTATGGTAAATCACTGAGCTGAATCTTCACCCCCGGAGTAAGTTGTCCAAAGATGGCAGGTCCAGGCATGCCTGAAGTTGCCAGAGCTGGCACTGCAGTGAGGAAGAAGATGGGACAGGTGTCCACAAGATGGAGCTGTGCCTTTACACTGGGGAGGGAGGAAGGCTGCAGCTCTGCCTCTGCCCGGCATTCTGCCCTGCAACCTTCTCATTGCAACGTCAATCACTGGGATTAGGCATCTCTCTTTCAAATTACAAGAAGGACAACCCTTGACAGAAGAATTTACTATGGATTTTTGGATTGTGTCTAAAACTGATGGGCAGCTAGAACAAAGGGGGAAATTATAAAGCAAAACACAAAGCACATCCAAGTAAATCAGGCCAAGAAAAATTAAATTGGACCAGTCTAGTATATCTCTGTTTACTAAGGAATTTTCTAAATCATGGGAAAATGTGGTGGGAGAGGAGCATATGAGCCAGGATAACCCTCTAACTCCTGCAATAGAAGCTTTACATGGCAATGTGCCATGCAAACATAGTAAGTCTTGCTGTCCAGGCAATGTTCCTGATTTCAGGCAGTGTTGAGGGATGTATCTCCCCTGAAGTTAACCAAGAGCATGTTTACACCTGCTCCAGAGCTGGCCCAACAGCCTGTTTGCATTCTAATCCTCTATTCTAATGCTCATCAAACTCTGTGACACCAACTGTAGAGTTACTCAATGCATGTGCTTCTTCAGCTAGAGAGTGCGGTCCTAAGCACGGGATGCAACACATAGAGGCACAGGCACACACATACCGGGCTAAGGTGAAGCATGAATGGTACATCCAGAAGTTTGCTAAAACACAGTGAATGTGAGGTTCCCCGGCACAGATCAAAATATTTACTTCAGAAGACAGTGATGTAATTCCTATCAGATAGAAGGTCTGGGTGTATTCACTGGGAGTTTCACTCCAGGATAACATCAAGGGAAAGCAAGTAAAGTCAGTGACATTCCTAATCTTCCTGCTGTTGATAGTTAGGAAACTTCTAGTGGTGTAATGTTTCCTCAAAGGAAAATCCTGTATTTCCTATTCCCATTACATCCAAACCATGACTTGATCTCCAAGACATCTTCTGCTGCTACAAGTGCTCAAGTAATTTTTTGTACCCTTGTTCAATCTGCAAAAAGCACTTCCAGTCTTCCATTTCTTTCCCGGTGGCTACCTTACTACATCCCACCAACCACTTCAGTCTGAACATCCAGGGGTGTTCAGCGTCCCTTCCCACCTTTCCTGGCGTCCAGCAACAACTTCTGCTCATAAGTATCACAGTTCCTGCAGGGAATCCTGACTATCCACTAACTGGGGAGTGCTAAGTCCCTGCCTTCTCAACACTATCTAAAGCACCCTCATGGGTAAAACACTGTGCTTGCCAGCAGTTATCTTGACTTCAGCTTCACATCTCTGAGTCTCTGCTGAATGAGCAGTAGCTTTGTCTCACCTTTCTATCCATATCTCCCAACAAAAACTTTCTGTTTCTGCCACCCATCTTCCCCCAGAGCCCCTCCTGGGGTGATGCCTCTTCCTCCTGCCTGCACAGCCCACATTGCTCTACTTCTTCTTTCCATATCAGTCCAGATGCACCTTAAAAATACTCACTGTCTGGTACTTTTTTCCCCATATTTGGACCTCCCTGGGGTTTTGGCCATTTGTCCAAGATTTCCAGACATCCAGAGCAGTAGTTCTACCAGACTGCCCAAGATTTGGAAGTCCCACAAATAGAGGCATTGCACATTTGTGCATATGTATACATAAATGCAAGCTGTGGATGCACAGCCCAGCTGGTCCATGTGTATGAAGGGGCTCACATTGGGCAGCTGCTACACACACCAGAGGTATCCCCTGGGTAGGAGAGAAGGATGTCTGGAAACCTGGGCAAATAACCCCTGAAGGCAGCAATAAAGCTCCCACAGATAGTAGGGGGAGTTGAACAAGGGTCATGGCTGTTGATAGAGCAAGCTGTGACTGTACAGTGCAGTACTAACAACTCTCTCCAGCAGAAACTACACACCTGAGCTTCACTTTATCATGAAGCTTAAAGGATGTCTGGTTAAACTTTCCCTGAATTTGGCAGATGCATTTTTCTGTATCAATGCCTCCAACACTTGCTTAGCATTGATTTGTAAGCACCTCCAAAGTTTTGAAGTAGGATCCCCACATATACATGGTATTCTTGGCCTGGAGAGAGTTTGTGCTTCAACCTTTGCTTTCAAGAAACTTTATCTCTATCCCAGTTGACACACTTCTCGCCAACCCCTCATGGCCAAAGGATACTCTCTCCCTGAAATTTCATTTTATCTTGTTTTTCAAGCATCTTTAAAATGTTTGAGATTTCCCCAAATATTTAATAATTTAGTGGATTTTTTCCCAACAAAATAATATTATTTTAAAGATCAGCATTTTTCAGTTTAACTGCTTATTTATTCCCAGCTGTCTTCCTCAGCAGATGATCTTTCTTCCTGTTTGCTTGAAATTCCCTTCATCCATTTTGCCACTTTTCCTTTCAATCTCACCATAAAACTTTTCGCTTTAAGCTATGGCTGATGATCTGTTAAACATTTTTTAAATCCAAATACAGTGCTTGCTGCTTTAAAAAAAAATAGACATGTTTACAAATAAAACAGCAGCTAAAACACTTTTATTTAATTTTTAAAAATTCTAAATACTTCTAGAAATAAAGGTTTTTTTTCATTTTGCAACAGCTAGCAGTGATCTCTTCCAGGTACCCCATCCTTTTTCTCTTTCCTTTCCTCTCTCACACATATAAATCCTATTTGGTTTTTTTTCTGGAGAAAAAACAGTAGCCAGGTAAAGCCCTCACTGTTGTTAAGGTGCATTGACAGAGATACCCCTCAGCGAGAGGCAGGCAGACAGGGTGGCTTTCTCGTTCCAACCCACCCTACCCAACACTGTTGTAGGTAACAGGCAAAAATGAGCCAAGAATTCTGAAAAAGCTTGCAGGCAGCGAAATGTCTTGCAAGACAATGGTGATGGGCAGACAGAGGGACAGAGGCAGCACAAGGCACCCCCAGCAATGCAACACCAGGCTTGGAGAGCTGTTTCAGCTCCTGGAGGAGTCTCCTTGAGTCAGCCAGCTGTCACTGTGACAGTAACTGCTTCACTGGAGGATTAAAGCAGTCACGAGTTGCAGCTACCAATATTTTAAGCTCTGGGAGGCCACTCACGAATAACTAAGTGCAGCCCCCATAACCTGGCTCTTGTAAGGCATGAACTGCCTATAAAGTCCATGTTCATGTCTGACACACTTCCATTGCAAAAGCACATACAGCACTGCTTTTTTTCAGGTTGGGTCATTTGCCTCTGATCTACTGTTAATCTGTTATAAAGTCAGGCTAGAAAATCATTTAAAGTCAGTAAGTTTAAAAAGGTGATGCTATGCACTGCTTAATTTTAGACTGTCAGCATGATTCAGCTAACACTGGCTTTTCAAGTGCTCCGGTAGATTGCAATCAGCTTGGCAGTGAGACTCCTGACTCTGCGGAGAACTCCCTGAAAGGGGATGGTGGAAAATGCCCTTCCTTTGAAAGCAGAAAGTGAATGTTTCAGGGCATCTGGTCACATCCTGCAGACTAAATAAGACAGGTCGCGTTTAAAAGTAGTGAGATGGCAAAAAGAGGAACATAATCAGCATTTAGACATAGATCCAAAAAAAAACCTTTGGAGGCATCAAGTTTAACGAGCACAGATCCAAAAAGAAAAACTTGCGGGGCATCAAGTTTAACCAGCGCAATACCTGATTTGTCAGTGCTGGTCTCTGTCTATATGAATTGAGAATTAGATGTATGCTTTCCTTATAAAATGAGATTCTCCAACATCCAGCTCATGGAACGTGGAGCTGGGAAGACAGAGACAAGAAAAGGTCAGTCACTGAGGTTCTGCTGAGGACAGGGATGCATGTTCCCAACTGAACCTCTTGGGATGTGGTGCTTTCACTCAGTGTGTCAATTAAAGTGACTTATATCTATATATATAGAAAGGAGAGTTTGCCACAGACCTTGACTTCCCATTTTAGACAGATTTCTGCAATGAGGTAATTGTAGCATTGGAGTGTGATGACCACTTGAAGCCATAGCACTGTTCAGCTAAGTAATCCTCCCATTGTCCCTTAGGACTCTTGCAATGAATGTGTCTAGCCTCTTGCCTTCTCTGACGGAGCCCAAAGCCCAAGGAAGTCTGGTTTTGAGGTCTGCTTTTTCCCAAATGTTTCTGTGCCTTCTAAATGATTAACAGGTCAAACAGACAGAAAAAGTAGCTGATTAAATGAAGGGAAAGCTAATAGGCACATCCAAGCTGTGCAGGAGGAAAAGATGATCACCCCGGCGCTCAGCTCCAGCTGGAGTTCAGATTTCCATGTTGGCGTTACCATAATTTCTCTCCATGACTTCAAATTAGTCAACAGAGAGTGAATTAAAGACTGTGTGATATACACAATTGAATACCATGGTTCTGTAGAGTCACAGAGAGATTATGGAAACAGCTGATGTGAAGGCTTGCTCTGTGTACACCAAATAAAAGGCGCACTGAAGGCACCATCCCTCCCTACTGCAAAGGAGGAGCCAGGTACCTGGAGCAACCCAGTAATGGCTCACCTTACCTGAGTTGTCTTTGTGTGACAAAGCACAGTGTCCCCACCTCCTGTCCCGGTCAAAGTTAGGTGTTGTTGAACACCTGAAAAGAAAATTAAAGGTGAAGTTTAGTGCAGCTTTAAATAACTGAAACTTCATGGCCTTCACACTTTGGCAACCTGGAAATTCTTTTTTTTTTCTAAGTAACATTACTTTCATTCAAACTCTTTTAACACCAGAGGGAGAAGTTTGCTTTCATTTGTTAAAGTTGCTCTGCTTCATTCCTTTCAAATTAAAAACAGATTAAAAATGAGATGTAGAAGCAGGATCTGAGATTTTCAACAAATCCTCCAGAAAAAACCCCAACATTATTTCTATTTCTAAGATTAGAAAATGAAAGACAGAAATAAAAATAAAATCAAAGCAAATAAATTATGTCTCCTTTACTCATTACAAAACAAGCAAAACAGGATCCAGACTATTTTTGATGCTTGATGGTTACTTTAATAATCTATGGAGGCAGGAGAATGTCCACAGAGGGACTTTTCCGTGGCTTTCAGTGACAAACGTATTTCACACTCAGTTCCTTTAAAACATTCTTATTTTGGAACTTGCTAGATGAAATGAGGAAATAACTGACATGGTGGTGATTTCCAAACACATAGATAAAACCTCCCCTCTTTTTTCAGAGCAGAGGACTGAGTCATGCATGCCACGTCGCCTGTGGGAATCCTACTAAAGCGAATTTTGACAACTGCTTTCTGTACACTTTCCTTGCCCTCACTGGTCTGTTATCTCCAAGGCTCAGAGCACTCCAAGAAGCATTGTGCCGCTATTCTTCATTTGCAGAAGTAAACTTACAGGCTTCCCCAAAGTCACACAGGGAACATGTGACTGAACTGAGGCTGAATCTTGGGGGTCCAAGTCCTGTCCCAATGTGCCATCCACCAAAACATCCTCCCTAACCAGTTCTGATGCAGAGAAATAGATATCAGCTACATGGCATTAGAAAAATTAGAGTTTACTTTATTCAATGTGCCTTATGATCTATTTTTATTATGCATGGTTTTGTCATACCTTGAACACTTGGGTGATCAAATATTTTTTCACCCTGGGATGTCACAAACTAGATTGAAATTTTATTGTAGTGCATGTGTACCATTTTAACTGCCCTACTTTCCTTCTTAATTAGATGCTATGTGGTATTTAAAACACTTAATTCCTGTGGAGCATTTGAACAGGCCATGTATATTAAGTTTGGTGACCTCAATTGTATAAGGTGCACTACCAAAAAGGTGCTCGGTAATCTAGTGCAGATTAACTTGGCACGTACTTAAAGAGGCTGTTTTCTCATAAGCATTAAGGCCAGTGTTACTCTTTTGGGAACTGATGGAAATTTCTCAATGATCCTTTGGTGGGAAGTAGACTGTGCTTTTTTAAAGGATGGTCTAGTCTGCATGAGGATTAAGATGAGGAATGAGTTAAAAGTGTTCTCAGCACTGCCTGTGTCACTGTTGGCAAAACCATCTCTGACTGAACACTTCATCTGTGCCAGCCATGATGGGGGAGGAGAATCCACACTTTTCTGACTTTTCTGAATGACATAATTTCTGATTTAGCAGAGTGATGTTACACTGGGCAGCATGGAATAGGCAAATGAAAAAGGCTCTGTATAAACCTAAGAAATGTAAGAAAACTCTGGTCATTATGGGGGGGAAAAACATTTTTGTGCAATTCAATGCTCTCTGGAGTCTGTCCAGCAACAGTCAAGTTCTAAGCAAAGGGGGATCTCAAATTTTTCCGTCTAAAATGTTTTTTGCTATCTGAGACCCTGACAGAACCTTCTTCTATCAGCTTTCCACAACCCACCGGTCCTCCCACTCAATGCTCTCCACAGCCAGTCCTCTCCTTCCCTATCATCTTGCAGTGACTACAAAGAGGTTGGTCCTACCTTGTGATGCCAAGCTACCTCCTCAGTGTCAGGCTTCTTGCCCAGTCACATAATCCTTCTATATGTTCCACCACATATCTCTCACTGTCTGGGACAACCTCAGCACATCCTCAAAACTACTTCACTTGTCTCCCTCCTGTTCTTTTCAAAATGCCTTCTTTGCTTTGAGGCTTACCAAAAATGCAATGATATTTCGGTCTCGGGGGATGTGACCTCCAGCAGCCAGACCAACCCAATCGGCTTATTATTTCTTTGTGCTATTTGCAAATGCACCCGTGCTCAAAATTTATGAGATAGCAAATGTCTTTACGTTAACCTGTCATATAAAATTGTTAATAAAAAAGTGAAAACTTAAAGACACAGACACTGAACTAATTACACCAGAGAAGTCCACTTTCTAGGGATAGATTTAAATAACATTTTAAACTCATGCATGGTAAACAACATAGGAATGGACAAACAAAATGGTGTGTCACAGATGAGGCCTAACTGGCTGACAAGATAAATGGAAAGTGGGCTATCTTAGCCATCAAGAGCATTGGGAGCCCTAACAATAGGATGTCTTAGAGAGCAAGCAAAGGCTCAGGACAAACTGATGGAAGGAAAGAGCTCTGCCATCACACTTGGTGCTGCTACTCTTTTCAAGACTTGGAGGTTGCCTGAGACCTTTTTAGATGTTGTCCTGACCACGAGAGATGTCCAGACTTCACCTGACAACACCAAACCTAACACCACCAGCACCAGAAAAATTTCAAGCCTGGTGCTTGATATCTCCCAACTCAACCCACATGTACTTCTCCTTTACAGGACTGCCGTAAACTCTCCAGCTTGTAATCCAGCTGTCCAAAAAGCTCTCCTCTGCACTGTTTTCAATCTGTGGCCAAAGTTTCAAAAGTTATCTTCTTGTGTTCCATGGAATATGGTAAGATCATGCCCTTCCTATACATATCTAAGCATACCTTTGCACAGGGGACCCACACATCCAGCACCCAAGCATAGGATAAGGCTTCTCCAGGATATGAATCAATACCTTCCAATTTACAGCCAAAATCTCAGGCTAGGTCTGCTCCTGCCATTCCCCTTTAGCAAAATCTTGAGGAACCCATCCCACCATAGGACACAGGGGCAGGGTGCTGGCAGCTTCCCTGCAACCGCAGCTCGGTTCACTTCAGACCACTGTCCCCATTTGCTTTCACAGATGTTCACTGCACACCCATTTTTGTCAGTCCTCACACTGCTCTGTCTTTCTGGAGGTACCAATGAAATTCAGGAGCAATTCCAGCTGGTTTTTTTTCTCCTCAGCACAAAGGGAAAATTTACATGATATCTTTAGTAAGTTATCATGTAAGACTTGGTAAGAGGACACTAAATAGAAACTTATCTGTGAAAATAGCTTATAATTAAAGGGAAATGCAACACAGGATGCTGTTAAAGGAAGTCTATTATTTAAATACTGCAATTATTTTGTCTTCTTTCCTGTATTTTCAATAAATATTTATAAAGATACAACTTGTTTGTTGCTCTCAAAAAAGTAGGGAGGGCTTTCTGCAGTCAGGAGCTGATTTATGTTGAAACACAGTATCTGTTTCATAGGTACTATGAGAAAACATAAAATAAAAGCCAATTGGAGAAGGCTTTGGCCTGCACTGTGAAGTCTTGCCTTGAAGTATGACTTGAGTACTAAGGACATGAACTTAAATGCATAAGCCAGCACTCTCCTGGTCTGGTCTCCTTGCATTTGCCCCCAAAGAGGCATGTTGGACCCAGCCTCCCATCATCTCCATCTTTACTAGCAGCTTGCAGGCAGGCAGGAACAGGAAGGACACAAACCTTGCCTTCATCTGCTGTCTGCCAGGTCCCCTGAGATCAGTTATTCAGCATAAGTCCAGCCTGGGTTAGTGCCAAGTCACACAAAAATGCACGGAACAGGTTTCCCAACTGCTATTCAGGGCTCTTTTACCGGCATCTCTGTGCCTGAAGTCACACGTTAAGTTGCTTTTAGCTTATAAGCAATGAGTAAACACTGGCCAGAAGGTCACCCATAGGGTGAAATGGCCTGTCAAAATCAAACAGCTCCAGCTGTCCTCCTCCTCGTCTCCCTGCTTGTAAATGGCTTTTAAAAAATCGGAAGCATGAGAGCAAGTTGTCCAAGGTCAGCTCTAAAGTGTGCTCTAACCTTGGATCCCATCTATTCACAGGTTTTTCCATTTCTGTGGCCTAACTGGCTAAAAACAAATACACAGAGTGTCATGTATTAACAGGATACATCTTAAGCACTGCATGAAATTAAGTGGCTCCAAAGGTCAAACTCTTTGTGGCTACAGTTCATCAAAGACAGGGTTCAAATTGGAAAATTATTCCAGTTCCCTTTCTTTAGTTAAGATAGTCTCAAATTCTTGTTTCCTGGAGGCTTTCCTTACCTGGGTTGTTAACTGTGGATATTGGGGAAATTCCAAAGTGGTCTCCTAGCCTGGAGTTCTATGTCTATTTGTATAAGCAGTTGTGTGTTGTGTTGTTTACATTACACCAGCACTTACACTTGAAACAGATGTGTCATCAGAAAGACACCACAGGTCATGAAAAAATTAGACAGACAGGTATAAAAAATGAGAGTTCTGCCCTGCATAGGCAAGTAAAATAAGCTCTAAAATATTATCTCCGCCCTGAAAACATGCAAGTGTTTGCCTTTCAAATAGCTCATCTGGGCATATATTTTCACATTACTGGTGCCCACATATTCTCTGCTTTGTTGCCTTTGATTTCTGTTAATATACACCTATTATATGGGTTTGTCTGCAAAGTTAATCTTGTTTATTCAATGCTTGCTTCAGCAGGGTTCCCACCTGAGTGCCCCTACCCCAAAATGAGTCATGAATACTTTTAACAGCTTCTGTATATGTAAAAGAGTAACCTTTGCCCAAAAGAAGGAGACCTGGCTTTAAACACACTAGGAGAATAAATCATTACCCAACGAACAGGAGTAATACTTCACTTCTTAGTACTGCACTATCCAAAAGGGGCCTGGTGCCAATCTGGATAGAAATTAGAGATACGGCAGAGAGGCAGGGCAGGGAAACCAACTTTCCTCAAAAATCACATGTTCTCTGCTGCAATACAAGTACTGCCTGCACAAATCAAATAACTCCTCAACCAGGTGTCCTCTCTTGCAGGTGTCTGGATCCCTCTCCCTCAGCAGAGGGTTTCTATCAGGTTGTTCCATCAGTTCTGCTTTTTTTGTGCAAGCTCTTGTCACTCATGTAAGCCACGGTTCCAATATGAAGGGCAGTGAGGGAACATTGCTGTTCCTGAGCTTTCTGTGATGCTGGAGATGCAGTGCCTGGGTTGCCTTCCCCCTGAGCATGAGCCTTGACCTGAGAGCCATGACTATCAGCAGAACTGCACCGATCTCCTTGGGCACAACACCAAGTTCAAGTTAATTATTCCAAAAGCAAGATTAAAGCACTAGAGGGATGACATTTTCATTTGAACGCTGTATTCATTTATGAGCAATGTCAACTTACCATTTCTTTCTGGAAAACATATTTGAAATACACGAGTGATAAAACCTTCCTCCAAACCGGAAAGGAAATTTGCATAAATTTCCATCCTCTGTAAACACTGAAATACAAGAATAAAAACCTCATCATGCAGCTGAACACCAATCCACAGGTATATCTATTATATGCTATTATATGGATTTATTAAGGTAGATATCTATAAGTTTTTCAGCTCTACTTTCGACTCCATGTCTTTGTAACTTTTTGTGCATAAGAAGAGGTTTAAAATCCTATGTAATGACTGAATCAACAAAGATTAATGGACTCTGCAGTAGAATAAAGATCTCAGATCATTTCAGTTCAAAATATATTGCAATTTCTGGTACAGCAAATGCCAATTATATTCATTAATTGTAATTATCGTTTCTAATTATGTAGTATTGTAATTGCATATTAAAATAACTTCTGAAGTTGTATCCTTTCAGGATCCATATCACATTGTAACATCTTTTTAAAATAATTAAGGAACCAGACAGTACAAACTGAAATAGAAACAGTCAGGAGAAAGAAAGTTTTAAAGGTTGGGGGTAGACAGATATTTTTGATCACACCACTCTCCCTTTGGGATAAGCATATTCCTTACAAATGGGGAGAAATTGATGGGACCAGTGTCTAAAAAGGGCAAGTTTTACATTCACCACGTCAGTGATGGCAGTCTAAGGAAGGGTGGTGGGAGTCTAAGGAAGTCTAGTGGGAGTCTATCAGAAAAAAATCCTTAGAGACAAGTCTTGAGAATGAGAGAGGCTGAAGATAAAAAAGACAATGAAAAACTGTCAGAGCTTATTTAGCCATTAAACTAAAAGCAATCAGTTTTGAAAGCCTGAAGCTTGAATGGGAAGCCAACCACTGCCATAGTAGAGAAATGGGGTGTACAACCAACCTGGCAGCACAGCACATTTCCATGTCTCAGAGACAATGTACAGCTGCTCCTTGTCCTGAGCTTACCCCTTCTGTGCTGGCTGGGGCTCCTGCAAACCTTTAGGATATCTGTTAACCCTCACGAGCCAAGACTCATCATCTTAAAGAGCTGCCAAGGTCAGTTATCAGAATTATGGGAAAAATAACCCCTCCTTGTGTTCCAAATCCTTCCTAATCAGTTGGAATTACGGTCACTCCATCTGCTCTAACTATCCCCTTCTCTGTCAATGTGAAATAGCCCCTACCAGCCCCTCTGCCATCCTCTTGCTAATCCTAGTTTGCATTGTCTGAACTAATTAAGCAAATGTTCGAATACCAACCTTCTCTATCCAATACCTCTCGTTATAAGCAGTTAGGAGAGTTGTGAAAATACATCCCCATTCAGAAGACATATTGGATCCCAAAGGCTGTTGAAGGCTGTTATAAGCTATAAAGGCACCACTAATGGCCTGATTCACATAATCTTTAACAGCAAAAGCACAGGATAAAATAAAATAATATAAAATAATATAAAATAAAATAAAAATAAAATAAAATAAAATGGAAGTCTTCAATGCCTGCACACAGCCAGGATGTTTGTTGCCTGCCATCAGAACAAATGCAACCCAGAAAGCTGCATGGGGCTCAAACCCTTCTCCCACAGAGAGATCAAGGGCTGTGGTAGAAATTGAACCCATACATATAAAGAGTTTATGTGCTTTAAAGCGACAGGTAAGACACAGCTCTGATTAAAGTGAAGGGAGTTACACATCTCCAGCCACACCAAGTTATGAGTAAATATAAAGCCACACCAGCTCAGACAAACTAAAATCCCATCAGCACCTTCCCATTAATCTGCACCTGAAGGAAAATTACCTGAGATTCCTGAGCTAATCCCAAATTCCCCTTTAAACAGAAATTAATATTGGCATAACCATTCCATAATCCTTGTTCATGTTGAAACAAAGACAGGCTTCCTACCGACTTGCACAGCACAGATACAGACAGGCAGATCATTCTTACTGTCATAAGACCTATTGGATTTGACTTTGTACCTTGTGGGCGCTTGAACTCATGTTTGGAGCCTCTTCCTGCCCCAGATTTGTGGCGCTACAAAGAGAAAAAGAGAATGTGCGTTGGAGACACAAATTCACTCTGGGAACCATCCTACTGGGACAAATGTATTTCCCTGAAACTGTGTTTCTCCCAGTGCTTCTGCAAACATCTCATTATTTGCATGTGATTTTTGGTGGGGCACAGTCTGGTGAAAGAGAGTGGATACACGTTGGTTCATAAAAGATCTCTGTTAAACCAGGAAAACTCAGCACAATGCAACAAAGGCCAAAGCTCTGCTCCTTTATATCTTTCTGTTGCCAAGGGGCACATCTATTTCTCTCGGCAGGAAGCATACATGCGCTCTGGGGCCAGTTCACAGTTACAAACAATATCCCAGCATTTGACTTTTCCTGCAGTTTTGCTGTATCCCCGAGGGCATTAGTTACAAAAGCAACCTCCAGCTGTGTTTGGGTTTGCCGATCAGCAAGCAAAGAGCACTAGGCTGAGCTGATTTTAAGCCACAGGAAATAATAAAAAATGGTAATACACATAAAGTGCTGCTGCCACTAACAGTTGCCAGTGCTGGCAACTAAACTATAGCAAAATAAAAATATTGAAAAAAACAGCACATCATGAACATAGAAGTGGACAGGGGACATAACAAGCAAGGGTTAAGAAAAAGCTGTTGCTGGGATATATAGGAAGGGCTTGAACCGTTCTGCAGAAAAAACAATTTTTGCAGTCTACACTGACTCTGCCAGCACTGAGCAGTCTGCAACTGCTTCAGCCAGGGACGATCTTTTCCTTGGCATCATGAATATTTCTCTCTGCTCCCACGTGTAATATCTGAGGAGATACTTCTGTAATTCTCTGGGATAGTTGGGATTATAGCATTGTTTAAGCATATCTGAGTTAGTTTTAACCTAGCTAGTGAAATAGGGCTGATCATAAGGTCCAAGCTATTAGCTATCCTGCTAGTGCATGGTGGATGCCAGGCCGTGGTGGGGTTTAAGCCAACTAGTAAAGTCAAACCATCATGGCCATGCTCAACAGTGCTTCAAGTGCCTGGCAGGCATACCACAGAAAAGGCACAAAGCACATGATTAAACAAAATGTGAAAAAATTATGTGGAAACAGGGAGAGGTCTGAGAAGAACAAGATAGCTGGCCTGTTGAGTTACCAGGCAGCAGTAAAGTCTGTCAGGGGAGCACTCTCCTACCATGCTACTACAGGTACCTGCTTGTGTCAATACATTTCTGAGATGTATTTTCAAAGGACTTCAGTTTTTGTAGTCTTTCCTCCCCTCCCATTCCTCATCCCTAGCAGGGCATGGATGTAAGCAATTGCTTTAAACACAGAAATGCAGAGTACCATCTATCCCACAGGCCCCCCATTTAGTCAGCACTGCTGTCAACCTTCATCTAGCAAATCCATTTTGTTTTCCATTTGAAGCTCTCATCCTCTTGGTCTGTTTGGTGGCTTCACTCATCCAACCCCAAGGCAACATGGTCTTGCCAGGCAGCACGTAGCTGATCCACCACTCCAAAACAGAAGAATCAGACTTACCATCTTTGCACAGTCACTGCTCAGAGTCAGAGCCAAGACAACAGTGAAAGGAGCACAGACTTTCATCTTTGCTTTCCTCTCATGAAGGTTTTGCCTGGTACAGGGAAACTTCCAGGGCTGGGCTGAAATGAAAGGGTGAATCAGCAATGAGTTTTCATAAGGGACTGTGATTTACTTGACTTTAGGGTATTTTAGTTTTCTAAGTAAGCAGAGCTGCTATCATTGTTAATCATTAATGTCTTCATGGATAGAAGGGAATGACATGTAGGGAGACACTCTCCCTAAACCACAGGGAGTTAGTTAAGAGTTTACAAAGTGTCTGACCCTCAGAGATGATCCCTGGTGTAATCAGCAAATATTGAATAGCACCTCCAGAGGAGTTGATCCAATGCTGCTTGCAACCAGAGATGATTTATTATCCAGATGTTCCCCTTATCACTCTCTTCAGGAGCTAATTAAAAGCATGGTGTATCAAAAACAAGGAGCTCAAAGCAAGCCCACTCAGGAGATGGGATTACATTGCAAAATATGGACCAGATCGATGCCAATATCAGACACAAGGATTACTCATTAACAGATGGTTACCTGCCCAGCTGTGACTTGCAACAGCAGCCTTCCAGCAACAGATTGGGAAAGTTAAAAAGAAAGAAAACAGACTTTATTCTGAAAACACATTTTGTGCACCAAAAAGCTCCCTTCTGCCACCGCCTGAGCAAAGCCATCTGTCTTGTAAGAGCCTGTCTGAGAAAGCTGCAACATAGAAGCATTTTTAACAGGGATGCAGAGGGTATTGCTAAAACGGAGATTTCACCAGTGGAGTGTATTTCAGCCCCACCTTGCCTCACAACCAAAATCCACAGGTTTGGCTGGTACAACTGTGCCTGTGCTCGAGGCTTTTGCCAGCCATGTCCTGTCAATCAGGGACCGCACCTCTTCACACCCAAAATCCCCAGAGCCGCAACAACAGAATGAATACCATAGTCCTTGCTTAAGTTGTGTTCTACCCTTTGAAGTTTCACCAGCACAGCTATGGAAGGGATATGATTATTTTTAATTTTTTTGACCCGACAAGAGCACAGCAGTAGGGCCCAGCAGTGCAGTGGAGCTACTCCCTGCACAATTTTGACATGATGGTTTATCACGTTGGAGGGAATTTCCACTGGCTGTGATATCACACTACTGTGGCTTTCATCACAGCAATAGCTCCTGTTTGGGACCCCTGGTGGCCTAGTGGTTAGCATGCGGCACTCTCACCGCTGCAACCCAGGTTCGATTCCTGGTCCCCCCGGGCAGATGGAGCTCGTTAGCCCTGTGAGGCCATCCATCTATGAGAAGGTCACTCTAAACAAACCTACGTCCTGAGGACCTCACTGCCATTGTCCAAGCTTGCTTGGCCCCGGCAGATGAACCTTAGGATTAAAGGGTGGGCTCAGTTCAGCGCAGGCTGTGTCTCACCTAAAAAATCCATTGCGCAGGCAGGAAAGGTAAAAGACCTTTCCCCAAATCTTCGTTCGCGAAGACTGGACATTAAAAAGAATAAAAAAAAAGCTCCTGTTAGTACAACTAGGCATATATAGATTTATGGACTAAACTTTCCTACTGTGAGCAAGCCTTGGAACAGTAGGAACCAGGCAAATTTGGAATTTTCTTCCCAAAATCCAGTAAAGACCAAACAAGCAGAAAAAAATCTTTGCCCCTATGCGTTGCTTGTTGCTGGAAGACTTGAAGTAAATAAAGGTTCAGAATAGACTTGTGGAATAGATTTGTCTTATTTTCACTCATTTCAAACATGGAAATAGGATGTACGGGCAGTCTGATCTGCCTGGGGTCACCTGGCAAAGCTGGAACAGATTTCAACTTTCCACCCTCATTCTTGACTTTGGCCATCAGGCTTCAAATTAGTAATGCCTGTATATTGGCTTGTAGACATTTGCTTACCACCTAGGCTAGTGAAGTTATGGAAAGAAAGAGAAAAAGAATGCCATTAGCTGCTATTCCATTCAGAGTTTGCAAAAGTTCTGCAGAAAGTGAGGAGCAGGGGAGCAAGGAGAGGAGGAAGATACTCCTTTAAGACTGTGGAAATACCCTCTTTCACCCACTTCCAGAATGAAAATCATCCACTTCCAGGACCACAAACACTGTGTTTCTATGGTGACCAAGTCACCAGGTTGTAGGAAAGCATTTTTGAATACCTAAAAGTAACAGAGAAGAAAAGGAAGAATGTATTCTGTGTCCGTGTGTATACTCCCAGTTGTAGTTTGTAGGAACTGATCTACATCAAGAGCTGCAGAGTGACTTTCTGGGGAGTCACAGCTCTAAGCTTTTAGCTCAAACTGATTCCTTAACATAAGAAAAATGAAGAAGCACCAACACCAGGAGTCACTTCAGCTGATAGGATGGTGCTGGCACAAAGCAAAAGAAAAAGACATCAAAGCCAGGAGTTGCAACAGCTGCCAGAGGAGCACCACCATAAAATGGGAATTACCCCTGAGTAAGGTCTGAATAATGACCAAACAGCGATTTCAGGGCTCAGACAGATCTGAATCATTAAAAACCCTAACGGCTACATGTATGCTGCCTGTCTTGGTTCAGCAGAGAGGTGTCTGAACAGGTCTTATGGCCACAGTGAAAAGGCAGAATTTGAGGTGTGGTTTTTTGGTAAATTATGTTAAATGATCAGTGACTCTTTCAGGTATTTATAACCAGAAGAAACTCTGCCTGCCTTCTTCAGGCTTTTTGTAGAATCAGTAAAAATGAAGTATGCCACACCTTTTTTTATTTTTAAGGAACGTATCATTGGCAAGAAACTACTCAGAAAACTGAAGATTAAGTTTTGATATTTGAATTCCTATACACTTCAGAGAATGTTGGGCATTTAGGAGTTTATAAGTGTGAAGAGTACGATCTTGGTTAGAGATGTGTGTCACATGTGAACCTTGTGGCCATGAGCAGTGCAAGAAGTGCGCACAGAGAGACAGCTGAGGAGCAAACCTGGGGAGAGAGAGCTGAGATGCATGAATCCCCTACACTGGTCTGGTTTTATGCCATTCCAGATAGAACCATCCAGCAGCACGGGCCTGGGTGAGCTGGGAATGACTCCAGAGGCAGAGAGGTACCCACTCTCACATTCAGATATCACCAGACTACATGTTCTTAAGACCGCTGGGGTGCCTGCCATGAGTGAAATGTCTTCTGCTGTAGGGAGGAGATGCTGTTTGGTTTGTATCCCTGCAGCCTGTGAGACCCAGGGCGCTGTCCCAAAACCATCATCCCATGGGTCAGGCTGATGAGCTGCAGAGCTGCTCTCCATAACCTTCTCAAGTCAATTCCTCTGTGACTCACTATTTCCAGCGTAGTGACAGAAACTTCCTATAAAGGGAGGTAAGAGTCAGGTGTGTATGGAGCTAATACTGTAACAACAAGGAGAAACACAATGAAGATATGGAAACAAGCCGCATGGCAGTCAAGATAAACTCCCTAACTTTAGATTTTAGACTTCATCTAGTGCCCATTTCAGACAAGGCTCTGTAAAACACTAAATAAATACAAATATATGTGTGTATACATATACACATATATATAAAAGAAAGAGAAAATCTGGAAATAGGAGCTAGAGGAAAGACTTGTGTTTGGGGGACAGAATATTTGGCAGCTCTTAGGCAACTCATCCCACAAATGAAACTGAAGCTAGAGTCTGGTTCTTGTTTTCAAAGAAAATTCCATTTTTCTTTCAAAGAAAGGCATATTCTGATTCTTAATTTTGCTGCACATAATATTGAACATTTCCTGTGGACACATAATTGAAATATATTTGGAGCCAGATTCTGCTACTACTAAAGAAAATGAAAGGTTTCAAAATAAGACTAGGAATTCTTTATCATGTTTGCAGGCTGTAATATTTCTGTATTAAACACTAAAATCCCTTAGTTTCAACAATAATTTCCCTTTATACTGACATCATGGGAAAAAGAAAAGGCAAATAAACCCACATTAAATGAGGAGAAACAGACAGAAATCTTACTGCAGGCCATGTAGAACATACTGATAATGCTGCCTCATACATTTGCCTTTTCTTCACTTCCCACATTGCAATGTTTTTTTATTTCTTAAAATTTAACAATAATTAATAAAAGCCCAGACTGAGTCCAGACTCTCAGCTGCTTAGTAATAATGACATAATATTAACAACCATCCTTAATCATTAAGTATCAACAAGAAGTAAATTAACTGAGTCAGCCATCAATACAAAATAATAAAATTTCAGGGTTTTTTTCCATCAATTAGTTGACTAGACATAAGTGAAAAGACAAGTCTAAACACACACACACACCCATTTGCATTTATTTCTATGTACCAGCTACCAAGAAAACTCTGAGAGGGCTGTCCCATGACTGCAAGGTCATGTGTTCTCCATTTTTTCTGACCATTGTAAATGTTTCTGAGAAAACGTCCACTCAGCTACTACAAAACTGAAGAAAAACTATAAACTTTTCTAATGACTGATTCCCCCTGTATTTTTGCAAATTTCTAAGCTTTTTCATAGTAACAAGATAACCCCAACTAACTGGCTAATGTTGCCTCCTAAGATGATCTGACTTCACAGCTTTAGTTGACATTATTGCTATGAAGCCCATACTCAGCTTCCTGGATAAGGAGATGGTTGCAGGAGCACTGCTGGCAAAAGGAACTAGTGCAAGATCTGAAGTCTCTGCAAGCATGCTCTGCCCAAGACCTTTATACAACCTGATGACTGCATATGAACTGGAAGTAATTAAAAATATTTCTGGCATTAAAAATACAACTTTGGATTTATCTTTCAGGAATGGGTGGGATGCAAGCCATCCTGTGTGAAATTCTACTCCTGGTGTACTAGCAAGGGACTCAATGCTGACATGAGACTGACACACAGACCTGCTCAACTCTCTTCTTTTTTCCTCTAGGGGACCTGCAAACCACACTACAGACCTTGTCAGTGTCGGGTGGGATTCCCTTCATCTCTGTTGCTTGAGATCATTCCCATCATCCTGGGAGCCATTACCAAAACTCAGTTCTGGTGATTGGGATATTCATTAAGTAACAGGGACAGCTGAGGCTAACACTCCTGGACTAAAAGTATAGTGACTTTTATATATATATATAAATAAGGCAACATAGCAACATTGGGAGTACATGAGGAACCCTTTCTTGTCCCTCCTTCA